GTCATCGTTGATGCCAAAATGAACATGGGCCAACAGTGTGGCAACACAGTTAGGAAGGCCAACCATACCTTGTCATGCATCCACAGATGCATCTCAAGCAGGTCCAAGGAGGTGATCCTCCCCCTCCATGCGACACTGGTCAGGCCGCAGTTAGAGTACTGCGTCTAGTTCTGGGCACTGCACTTCAGATGGGATGTGGACACCGTGGACAGGGTCCAGAGGAGGGCCATTCGCATGATTAGGGGCCAGCAGGGCAGGCCCTACAAGAAGAGGCTAAGGGACCTGAACCTGTTCAGCCTCCACAAGAGAAGGCTGAGGGGGTGAGTTAGTGGCCTGTTACAAACTAGTCAGGGGGGACCAGCAGGCATTGGGGGAGTCCCTGTTCCCCTGAGCACTACACCAGGAGTGACTCGAAATAACCGTCACAAGCTGGCAGAGGGTAAATTCAAATTAGACATCAGGAGGCGCTACTTCACTGTCAGGACAGCTAGGAACTGGAACCAACTTCCAAGCAAAGTGGTGCTGGCTCCTACCCTGGGGGGTCTTTAAAAGGAGGCTAGATGAACACCTTGCTGGGGCTGTTTGACCCCAGTACTCCTTCCTGCCATGGCAGGGGGGTCAGACTTGATGATCTGTTCAGGTCCCTTCCGACCCTATCAACTATGAAACTATGATAAAATATTTTGAACTTCAATTTTAAAAAAAGTTAAGTTACAAATGAATTGTAAGAAATAAAGATTGAAAATTACCAAATACATTTAAGATTTACTCCTCTGCCACAGAAAGACATCTTCCTATATAAAATTTGATTACATGATTTATACTGAAAAAGTAAGACAAAATACTACAAACTTGTATCCCACGCCCCGTGTAGAGTACTGTGGGGGCAGACGTGGGCCAGATCCAGTCAGTTGGCAGGCTGGATCTGGCCTGTGGGCTGTGTTTTGCCCACCTCTGCTCTAGAGAGGATGAAAGATTCTTAACAAGTAGGTTTTTACAGGGATTTGTTGACAGTAGAGAAACAGTAAGAGCTAAGAATCTTGGATTTCATTTCAGGCTCTAGAAGAGAGCATCTCTCAGTAGGTGTGGACTCTTCTGCCTATTCCCCAACCAAGCCTGGCCACTTCTAACCAACCCGTCCTGTCTCAAACCTATTTTTTTCCCATCACTGGTTCTTTGATCCCAGTCTCATTCATCTCATTTAACCATTCCCAGTGTGTACTCCTTGTGCTTTGCATCCCAGTTCCAGTCTCCTTGCCCAGCAAGCTGTAGTCTCACCAATCTTATGACTTCTCCTTCCCCTTTATAGTTTCACTTCTTCAGATTAACCCTCCCAATTGCTTTGTCCAGCCACTTCCAACACCAACCCGTATCATCACAGCCTGTCCAGTCTCAGTCCCACCTTTTGTCCTTAACCAGCCTCCCTCTTCTACTTAAGCCTTCATTTGACTCTTGTTGCCTCCATCTGAATCAGGTCGCATCCTCCTCAATGCTATCTGGGCCCAGCAGAGAACAGATAAATTACTTTGCTCTAAATGCAGTTGCTTGACATGGAATAATCTGCAATGGCGCAGAGCTGAAATTCAGAGAACGCAGGGAAAACATTCTGCTTGGCCCTAAGCGGAATTATGCTCACTGTGGATAGAACATGGAAAATTTAGCTGCTAAAAACTAAATTGTATACTGAATATGTGTAAGCTGTAATTTTTCAAAAGTTATTATCTTGGCCAAAGTTTGACAGATTTTAAGGGAAAG